CGCAAATAAAAAAAAATTAGTAGATTCCTCAGGGTCAGTTACTTCTTTCACCGTTCTCAGACACATATCACATCTAGGATCGCTCAAGGCGGAATTTTGAGCTGAATGCGAAAATATAAGTCCAACAAACTTTGGTTTGCTTCAGCAGAAAATATTTCGAAAAAACTAAAACGTTAACGTCTTTACAACTTTAATGCCTTTAAGAGATGTGGTTTTACTATTGTTTTACCAGTGTAGCTTGGCATATTGTTGTGAAAAGTTTCAAGATTCATCACATTCTAAAAAAAAGGCAAAACAAATTGAAAGGGAAAATTATTTTGCCATGTTATTGTTGTTCCCTGCAAATAATATTATTTGCAAGATTCTTCCATTATTTCGAACCATTTGTACTAGGAGCCGGTGGTGCATAGCAACTTTTTCACATACATTTTTCTGTAAATAACATTCTCTCTCGTGTGCAGGTCGCACTGGTGGTATGCCTGGCAATGACGGCCCGGGGGTTCCCCTCGCCGCGCGTGGTTGCAGCCTTCGGACACAGTGGAGCCACCGGGGGCGCGGCGGGCTACACCTCGAGCCGCGTCGGCCAGGAGGGGGGCCCAGGCGCCGCTGCCGGACCGAATGGGGGCCCGTACCGTGGGCCGGGGGACGCCGGCGGTCACCACCGCGTCTATCTGCAGCTTTGACCGCCGACCTAGTGTGACCAGTGTGACTGACACAAGACTGAAAACACCCTCTACCGTTACCAACCCGTATTTATATTACATTTAAACGTATACGTTAAGAATAATGGAGAATGCGTTAAGAATCTCCATGAATAAAACAAAGAGTTACCATTAAGTGACCGTCAAATAATTCAATTCTCCATAAACACACCAGCAGTGAACTTATTGAAATTTTTGATTCTAACATTTCTACTGCCTGGAAAAAAAAATTGTCCTTGAGGTTAGGAAGAACACCAGTAAAATACGGGTACGATGTCCTACATTTAGAAGGCACTAAAGCTCCAAAGGCATTACAGTTTATGTTTTTTCGAAATATTTCGTTCCTATGGAGTAATATTGGATTGTAATCGTAATCTACGCGAAATTCCGCGTCGAACGAGGCTACATGAGATGGGGCTCTGTTCAAAGATAGCAAAATTAATAGAATTTTTTGTACTTTTTGACTTGTTTTTCATTTGCTAACTGCTTATCAGAACCCTATCACATGTAGGCTCGTTTGACGCGGAATTTTGTGAGGAATGCCGCGACAATGGATCCTAAAATGTGATCGGTTTGCTCATTCAGAAAATATTTGGGAAAACCTGAAAATACACACATTAGCACCCCCAAAACGGGTTGAGCACCCTTGAAAAGCTAGGATATCGCACATTTGTTTTTTCACTGAAAATGTCATATCATAGGTCGTAGCATATCCAGCATATCCAACATACCGTTCAGCTATGCACTCTAAACTGCAATGGACAATTTGGTCCAACGCAAGATGCAATTATTTTATCTCGTTGAATCCAAAACGTGACGTGGCAAATTTGCCATCTATCTAGATTCATTAACTTCGGCTTTAAAGAAGCTCGCGCCAAATGCTCAAGAGGTGACTCTCATTAAATTTAGAGTGTTGATTTTTTTTGAACACTAGCTAGTCGGGTTTTATCAGAGTGGACGCTGCTTTAGTGTTGCGGGATTGAACACTCTCGGGCCACAGGTGCCCTCCTGGCGGCTTACAGGTCGAGGGATGGGCAAATCCGTTGTAATGCGGCGTCCACTCTGATAAATAAAAACAGCATGCACAAGATTCTAACGTAAGCTCAAAAATATTGTGAACTGCACAGGAACCGAAGCTCGATACAAATAAATCCACGCCAACCGCCACGTCCACGACAGCCGCTGACATAGACAGAAGTCGCCAACCGGTGCAGAAGGCTAGGCTCACAGCTCTGTGTGTGTGTGTGTGTGTGTGTGTGTGAGTGAGTGTGTATGTGTCGCGGGCGCGATGACCGGGCTGCGGGCTGCGTACCTCCAAATCTCTGACGTCACGGCTCTAAACCGGGCCCACACCGCCCCGGCAGCTCCAGCCAGGGACCCCCGCTCCGCTCTACTCCGCAGCCGCCGCGCGACAGCAAATGCCCAAACAACAAGCAGAGAGCGCAAAAATAACCCCGCAGCTCCTCACGCTCGGACGCGGAAGGATAATCAAATAAACTCGGGCAACTGTGGCACACACACAGCACCGCAGTTAAAACTGCACTACATGGTACTCCGGTTTCTCCAGTTGTGTGTGATACTACTTAGTTGTAAGTACAACACTTCGTACACATGATTTAAAAGTGTCGCACTGCCCGGTATCATACACGGTCGGGCACAGTGAAGTTAAAACTGCGATACTGTACGACACTTGACTTTCCAGAGCATCAGCGGTGGCGACAAGCCAGCGACGACGACGACTTTCTTCGCGTGGATGGTGACGTCTGCACCCGCCGCGCACCTGGCGACGCCTCGCGCGGGAAGCTATTCGGAAGTATCCTTGCTCGCCTGTGAGCAGAAACTCAGGTGAAAAACTGTGAATCTCCAGGCAGGCTCACATTTTGCCAAAATGGAGCGGGCAGGCGGCGGAGGCGGCGGCGACAGGGGGCGGGAGGGGGAGCACGAAGAAAGTCGTCGCGCTGGGGGAACGAGACTGGCCGGGCTGTCCCGAGCGGTACCGCCACCACCCCTTGGAGGGTCCCTGCAGAACGAGTCCCTCAACGCCGCGCCAAACGGGCGGGGAAAGGAAAGGGGAAAGAAAGGGGCGAAGAGGCAAGGTTATAAGAGGAGGCTGCATGCGCTGGAGCGGCGAGTGAGCGCCGGGCTGCAAGGAGAAACATCTCGCACCGCATACCGACACACGACGGCCGCACCATGATGAGCGCCCTGGTGAGTATCGATTACCGGAGTGACCCGCTGTCAAGAGGGTGACGTTCAATGAGTAGCCTACAGTACGGGGGGATTTGTACTGCAAATTGCCAACCTTTCGTCTCGCTGACAGCCTTGGAAAGGATTACCCGGGTGGCAACTGCAGTCCAAATGCAGGGAGTACTGCGCTCTTTGACTCGTCTACCAAATTTTTACAGTTTTATAGCGTCCCTTCTTGGCAATGCCTCAGCGATCCAAATTGCTAATAATGGACACGAGAACAACCAGTATTTGCGAAGTGATTTAGTGTAGTATGAACGCGACATACTGTTCTACTTCTGTCTGAAACCGGCACTTTGTCCGCCAGGCCCTGCTCGCCATCCTGGCCCTCGCCGCTGCGGTACTAGCTGCTCCCGGCGGATATGGCAACTACGGGGGTGGTGGTCAGTATGGGGGCAGCCAGCACGGAGGCAGCCAGCACGGAGGCAGCCAGCACGGAGGCAGCCAACACGGAGGCAGCCAGCACGGGGGTAGCCAGCACGGGGGTAGCCAGCACGGGGGCAGCCACCACGGAGGCAGCGAGCACGAGGATAACTATCATGGAGGCAGTCAGCACGGAGGCAGCCAGCACGGGGGCAGCCAACACGGGGGCAGCCAACACGGGGGCAGCCAACACGGGGGCAGTCAGCATGGGGGCAGCCAGCA